AGCTGTGTCTTCCAAGCCTTCTCCCGAGCAAGCTGTGTCTTCCAAGCTTTTAGACATCTGCCAATCTTGGTGACATTTATTAATTACATGCCAGAGTGCTAGACTGATAGACATCTGAACATAGGCATGTCCTTCTTTTTGTCTAAAGCCAAGATTTATTGGACAAATCTGCTCTTTTCTTTCTCCAAAGTGAATCACTGCAGAGACAAACCATTCTTCTTTTCCTCTACTAGGTATGGGAGTTTTAGATTATGTACAGGGGTAAACAGTTATGTTTTCACATTGCAAACTAAAAGTGTATTAACTGGTTTTACATCTTCATTCAATAAGTTTTGTTTCTCAATCAATCGATACTTTGGTGTTTATTAAATAATCCTGATCGATGGAGCCTTATTTTTTTAAACTCCCATTTGGGAAAAGCATAGAGTTGGCCATATCAGGATCTGGGTAAAACAATTAAATTTATGTTGTGACCCATGGAGTTGTGAGTCTGGAGGGAAACAGTACACTCTTCCTATCTTGGCCACAACACTGTAAAGATTGACATACAAATAAAAACCAAATGGAACTATCCCAAGAAAGAGCAAGCTAAATACAGCACAATTTACTCTGCAAATTTTGGAATACTGCATTCAGTTCTGGTCTCCCCACTATTAGGGATGATGCTGTGAAACATGAACAGGTTCAGAAAAGATTTATAAAGGATGTTGCAAGGGTCGGAGGGTCTGAGCTACAGGAAGAGTCTGAGTAGGCTGGGGCTATTTTCCCTGGAGCGTCGGAGGCTGATGGGTGACCTTATAGAGGCTGACAAAATCATAAGGGGCATGGATAGGTGAATAGTCAAGGTCTTTTCCCCCAGGGTAGAGGAGTCCAAAACTAGAGGGCATAAATTTAAGGTGAAGGGGGTAAGATTTAAAAGGGACCTAATGGGCAACTTTTTCATGCAGAGGATGAACTGTGTATGGATTGAGCTGACAGAGAAAATGATGAAGGCTGGTACAATTACAACATTTAAAAGGCATCTGGATGAGGACATGAATAGGAAGGGTTTACAGCGTTAGGGGCCAAATACTGGCAAATGGGACCAGATTAATTTAGGGTATCTGGTCGGTGTGTATGAGTTGGACTTAAGGGTGTGTTGCCATGGTGTACATCTCCATTACTCTAACTCCTCTTCACTAATATCTGAAGGATATCAACAAGCAGTACATCCTCTAATTTTTTCTTCAGCGTGCGGCCTTCTGAGATCTGTGCACGATTGTGACTTTCGAAGTCAATGTGTCAGCACCAATGGCCTGCACAGAACCTCGGAGGAATCTCAGAGAACCTCACAACCATGCAGCTTAGAGGGAACTCTAACCAACCTAAACGTCTCCAGTGCTGCCACCGAAAATCAGCTGACCCCATTTAAGATGAGCTCTGTTTCATTACAAACGTATAAATGAATGCCAGTAAAGTCAAAGAACACGAAAGTATTCTCTGAGTACTCATCCCCATCTCTGTAATCTCCATGAGACTCACAACATAATGAGCTCCTCTAATTCTGCCCCTGAGAACAGCCCTGATCTGAATTGATCTATCCTTGATGGCTTTGTCTTCACTTACCCAGATTCTGGAATTTGCTCGATCAATTTTTATACCTCACTACATCATTTTCCTTCTTTAAAACATTCCCTAATACTTATCTGTTAGGAATGTAGAAACAGGAGTAGGCCATTCAACCACTGAAACTGCCCCACCATTCAATATGTCCATAGCTGGTCGAATACTTCAAAGCCTTTTACCCACCCCAACCCCATGACCCTGTACGCCACTGGCGAACATGAACCGATCAATCCCTACCTTAAACATAATCATAAAACGAGCTTCTACAGTCCTCTCTGTACAGAATTCCAAAGGTTGACAACGCTCTTAGTAAAAGAAAATTCTCAGATCTAAGTGGCATTCTCCATATTTTTAAATAGTTTCTCCTGGTTCTCGACTCCTTAACTAGGAGGGATATCTTACCTGCTTCTACCCTGCCTATCTCCTTAGATATTTTGTAAGTTTCAATGAAATCACCTCCCATTCTTTCAATCTCAGGAGGATATAGGCCCAGCTTACCTAAAACACTTTGACCACACGTTTGCTCATTTATTCTAATAACCCCTTGTATGAGGCACTGTCAAATTTTGATTTTTAATGCACACATTTTGGGGTGACTTATTATGTGATGGGTATAATATAAATCCAACTTGAGACTGACGTAATGCTGTACCTATTCATTGCAGGGAGAGAGAACACATAGTCTATAACGCAAATTAGCAGGAGTGATTATTTTGACTACATTAAAAAATATTTACAGCTGTACAAATCTTTAGTTCGGCCATATTTGGAATATTGCACGCACTTCGTGTTGCTCCAATACCAGGAGGATGCTTTGGAGAAGGTGCAGAGAAGGTTTACCAGGATGTTGCCTGGTCTGGAGGGTTTTAGTTATGAGGAGGGGTTGGATAAACTGGGATTGTTTTCACTGGAAAGACAGTGGCTGAGGGGTGACATGATAGAGGTCTACAAAATGATGAGAGGCATAGATAGGGTGGATAGACAGAAGCTTTTCCCTGCGGGAACAGATTTAAGGTCAGAGGGGGAAAGTTTAGGGGAGAAGTGCAGAGAAAGTTTTTAACACAGTGGGCGGTGGGTGTCTGGAATGTCCTGCCAGTGGAGGTAGTGGAAGCAGACACATTAGCAACTTTTAAGGCACATCTCGGCAGGCACGTGGATGGGAGGCAAACAGAGGGGTCAAAACAGTGCATGGGGAATAAGTAGAAGGTCTAAATTGGGTTAAATAAGGATTAGAATCGGTTTGGTGGGCCGCAGGGCCTGTTCCTGTGCTGTATTGAATTGTATATTAAATTGCACTCTGCGTGATCAGCCATTTTTATTTAAGACCTAAAAGGCTGCTTTATTGCAAACCTTACTGACAAATCCATTTTAAATAACCTGATTCATTACAAAGAGCCAATGTGAGCAAATGGCACAGCCGTCTATTAACAGTACGGTGGGATAAAGTGATTGCTTCACATAGATCAATAGTTTCAAACACTGCCAATTGCTTCAGTCACAAGTACACTTTGAAGTTACCTTTCTGTTGGTCTGGTGAAGTGGAGCTCGGGAGCTGTTTTTAGTTGATAGCATTCCATTCTCTGTAGTTCTGGGAGGATTCATGCCAATAAACGGAGGCTGGTTCTTTAGAACTCCAGATACACAGAGCTGTGCCACCTCCTTCAAAGCCTTCATTTGGGATTCCTGAGACAATGAAGATAACATCTGATCAAGTCCTATCAAACCATTAACTTGTGACTCTTTTGAGCTTTTTGCGATTGATCAGGGAAAAGAACAAATGCTGCAGACCCACAGACAGGGCCAACTTCAAGCTCTTGAACTATCTGTGCATTGGTTGCTTCTCCTTGCGCAGAAAATAACTTGCACATCTGTTCTTGAGACAACTTGATTCGGGTTGCTGGATAATTTGAACTTGATTTCCAAAAAATAAAATTGGGTAAAATAAACAGATGCATGTGATAGACATTTCGGGCAGTACACATTAGCGGTATGGAAGTGGGAGGATTTGGGGTTAGAAATTGTTTCTGGTGCGTTTTTGGTCCTTTTCCTAACATCAGTGACAACATGTGCTTTAGAAATTTCCTTTACCCATCACCAGCTCGGGAAATGGAGCTAGGTGTTGGAATGTCATGTTGCAGCTGTACAGGACATTGATGAGGCCACTTTTGGAATACTGCATGCAATTCTGGTCTCCCTGCTACAAGAAAGATATCGTGAAACTTGAAAAGGGTTCAGAAAAGATTTACAAGGATGTTGCCAAGTTTGAAGGTTTTGATCTAGAGAGAGAGGCTGAATAGGCTGGGGTTATTTTCCTTGGAGTGTTGGAGGCTGAGGGGTGAACTTACAGAGGTTTAATAAGTTATAAGGGGCACAGATAGGGTGTATAGCCAAGGTCATTATTCCAGGGTAGGGGAGCCCAAAACTAGAGGGCATAGGTTTAAGGCGAGAAGGGAAAAATACAAAAGTGACCTGAGGGGTAACTCTTTCACACAGAGTTTTGGGTGTATGGAATGAGCTGCCAAAGGAAGTGGTTGAAGCTGGTACAATTACAACATTTAAAGGCATCTGGATAGGGACATGAATAGGAAGGGTTTAAATTGGATATGGAACAAATGCTGGCAAATGGGACTACATTTATTTAGGATATCTGGTCAGCATGGACGAGTTGGACTGAAGGGTCTGTTTCTGTGCTGTACTACTCTATGACTTTAACTGTTTCTGTTGGGATGTGAGACACTGCCAGAAATCTTGCAGTTCCACCTTTAACATAAGCAACAGTGAGATCAGTAGGTCGCAAGCAGTAAGGGGCCCTGTATAGATTTAGAAACATGAAATCACCAGACAATATGCAGGATGTAAACCTGGAAGTAAAAGCTCAGATAAATTTGTACTCAAAGTATTTTAAGGGAAAATTAAATTATGTTGTTGCATGTCACCAAGCAGCATCAGAAACACTTAATCTATGATAAAGTAACATGCAGAATGAAGTTTGCAATTGCATACTCTCTTAGTTTTGTTGCAAGTGGGCACTTAACAGCAGAAATCATAGAATCCCTACAGTGTGGAAACAGACCCTTTGGCCCAACAAGTCCATACCAACCCTCAGAGCATCCCACCCAGACCCATCCCCCCTGTAACCCACCTAATCTATACATCCCTGAACACTACAGGCAATTTAGCATGGCTAATCTGCCTATCCTGCACATCTTTGGACTGTGGGAGGAAACCGGAGCCCCCAAGAGGAAACCCACGCAGACTCAGGGAGAATGTGCAAACTCCACACAGACAGTCGCCCAAGGGTGTAATTGAACCCGGGTCCCTGGCGCTGTGAGATAGCAGTGCTAACCACTGAGCCACGGTGCCGCCCTTAAAGGAAATAATGAAAAAGAAAAATCTAGAATGTGGTAGTTAACGGAGTGGGCTTTTATCCTGTGGGGTGTACCCATTTTGGCCACTGCATGTCACACTCTGTCTTACTTAAGCAGATGGCACCAGAAATGTGATGAGTTGCATGTGCTTTTTGGTCCTCCATTTCCCCAGCCTGAGGGTCAGTTAGCTCAATTAATTGGATGGATGGTATGGAGAGTGACAATTGCATGGGTTCAATTCCATGGAAGTCACGTTTTCTCAACCTTGCCCCTCATGAGGTGTTGTGACCCTCTGGCTAAACTCACTAGTAGTCATTTCCCTCCAATAAGAGAGCAGCTCTACCTTTCCCTGGGACTCGTGACTTTACCTTCAATAATCTAGTGAAGCAGGTAGGCACATGCGATATTAAGGGGAAGTGATTTCCGTTCTCCACCCTGTGTTAGCCCCATTTAAAAGCTGGATGCTGGGGCCGATTTGGGCTTTCAGCTCTCAACAATTGTGGGCTGAGGGAATGGGACTGTGAATTCAATTAGAGAGAGGTGTGTACAATTCTCTTGTGAGTATGACTGTATACAGGCTTTAGAGTGCCCTACAGAAATCGGGAGGCAGCTTACGCTGCCCTTCTCCTCCTGCAGGCACTGAATCAGACCACAATCATCAATCTGCAGCATTGTACAGCTATTCAGTGGGGAACCTGACTTGGCCATTTGAGAAATCCTGAAACCAGAAGGCCACCCGCAGTCCGTGAATAGAGTGGGGCATCTCAGTGGTACTGAGATCATTCACCAGAGATTCCCAATCAGAAAGCTTCGGATCCTGTGCCAGGAAAGTGTGGCAGCTGCTGGTCACCACCGATGTCATCCTTGGTCATGTGCCTCCTGGTGTATATAAGAGTCAAGTGAAGGGAATACTCCATTTTAATTTTTGTTCCTCCACCTTGTGGGGAAATGGGTGGCCTCTTTCCAAGGACACAAATGACTTTGAGAGATTGGTAAGTGGACACTGGAAGGCAGCAGGGAATCATATTTGGATATTATCCTGAAGGGAGATGAAGCTACTATGGTACTGTCACTGGACTAGTAACACTGAGCCCCAGGTTAAAGTTCTGGGGCTGCGGGTTTGAATCTCACCATAGCAGATGGTGAAATCTGAATTCAGAAAGATCTCGAGTTTAAAGCTATCCTAATGGCAACCACATAACTACTGTCAACTGTTGTAAGAATCCATCTGCTCTTTCTGAAGGGATATATTCCCTTGTTAGAAAAGAAAATCTGGTATACATGCTGATTCCAGACCCCACTGTAATGTAATTGTCTCTTCAATGCCATCTGAAATGGCCCAGAATGCCACTCAGTTCCAAGGTAATTAGGGATGGCCAATAAATGCCAGCAATGACCATTTCCCATGAATGAATTTTAAAAAAGTATGTGCTTGTCAATGCAGCAACAGTTAATATTTTGAATTTGCTGTTGCAGACTGGCTTTACATGCACATACCATAAAGACATCTTGGAGATCAAATTCTTCTGGTTGTAAACCAGAAGTATTTTACGTTCTTCAGGAAATGTCTCTTACCCCAACATATTTAAAATAATAATTTGGCAGACAAATAATCTCATATTCCAAGCAAACCATGAAGATTTAATCAGCAACACAGTACATCAATGTTGTATATTTTTTTGTTCGTATGTTGTAAGGATTTGTTGCAACTGACAACATAGTCATAGGAAATTGATTTAAGAGCACTCCTTTCACATATTTTCAGAATGGAAGGAAACTAATAAGAAATCCAGGGGAGGAACTTATTGAATTCAATATGAAAAACAAAATGGTAATGGAGAAATTAATGGGACTTAAAATAATGGGACTAAAATGAACCGCAGGACTTCAATAAGAATATTACAGAAGAATTTCTCAGAAACAAGATCACTTTATTTCATTCATAGATCTCCTCCTTTGGGAAATGTATTGTTAGACTTGAGATTTAGTAGTGTCACTGTCAGTTCAGAAGAAGAGGAGATAAAATCCATGGCAAAATCTTGCTGAGGGGTAAACTGTTGACCAGAGAGCTGGAGAGAGAGACACACTGCCTGTTCTCCAGAAGGCCAACACACCAGTCAGCATCACTGAGAAGCCCGTGGCTTCTGAAGGAATAACACTGCCAGTGTTTTTCTTCATTCAATGGACATGGGTATCACTGGCTATTGGTCTTCTCTAGCTGCATTGAATAAGGTGGTGGTGAACTGCTTTCTTGAACTGCTGCAGTCTATATGTTGTGGGACAACCACAGTGCTGCTTCAAAGGGAGTTTCATGATGTTGACCCAGTACCAGTGAAGGAATGGTGATCCATCTCAGAATCAATTTGGCAGCTGCTTAGATGCGAACTTTCAGGTGTTGTTGCTTCCATGTATCTGCTGCCCTTGTCTTTTTAGATGGTAGAGTTTGTGGGTTTGGAAAGAGCTGTTGAAGGAGCTCTGATGAAATGCTGCAGTTTGCTTTGTAGATGAACCATACTGGTTCTACTGTGTGTTGTCGGTGTAGAGAGGGCTTGATGAAGATCATGGATGGGGTGCCAATCAAGCAGATTTCTTTGCTGTGATGGTAAAGAGTATCTTCAGTGTTGTTGAAGCTGCACTCATTCATATAAGTGGAAAGTATTCCATTATATTCCTGACTTGTGTCTTATAGGTGTTGGATTTGTGGAATCAGCACTTGTGTTACCTGCAACAGAATCCCCTATCTCTGACCTTAGGAACAGCAGAATGAGAGTAAGCAATTCAACTAATCAACCCTGCCCTGCCATTCAATATGATCATGGCCGATTGAACAATTCAATGCCCTTTACCCATAAATTCATATAACCCTGCTAATCAGAAATATAAAATTCTCTAGCTTAAACATACTCCGACACTAAACTTTCACAGCTCGCTATGGGAGAGAATTCGAAGGCCTGCAACCCTCAGAGGAAAAAAAAACTCCTCACCTTGGATAAAATTGGCAACTCCCTTGTCTTAAAATTATGCCCCCTTGTCCTAGGCTCCTTAACGAGGGGAAACATCTTACCTGCACCTACCCTGTCTATCCCTTTAAGAATTTTGAAAGTTTCAATGAGATCACTTCTCATTCTTTGAAACTCTAGAGAACACTGGCCCAGTTTGCACAATCTCCCTTCCTAAAACTATTTCACTATAGTCAGAATGAGACTAGTAATCTTCATTGAACTCCCTCAATGGCAACTGTCCTTTGTGCATATCCACTTCCAACCTTGTACCACTTAAGAGCCATTCTGCAGATATCCTCCCAAGTGGGTAACC